TTATGGGCATGCTTCTCATCAGCAGGAACTGAGAAGCTTGTCAGGATTGAGGGGAAGATAGATGGTGTAAAGTACAGGTGAATCCTAGAGGAAAACCTGTTTGAGTCAGACATAAATCTAAAACTGGGTCAAAAATTGATATTTCAGCAGGAAAATGACCAAAAGCACAAAGCCAAAGCCACATTGGAGTGGTTTCAAAATAAGAAAGTGTATGTCTCGGAATGGCCCAGTCAAAGCCTGACTTGAATCCAACAGAATATTTATGGCAAGACTTGAAGACTGCAGTCCATCAACGATCATCAACGTAATTGTCAGAATTGGCACAATTTTGCCAGGAAGAATGGGCAAAAATTACACCATCCCATTGTGCAAAGCTGGTAGAGACCTATCCAAAAAGACTCACAGCAGTAACTGCTGCCAAAGGTGCTTCCACTTAGTACTGACTTAGGGGGCTGAATACTTATCCTATCAGCAAATTTCAATTTATATATTTTCTTTGCAGGTTTAGTTGACATTTATCGTCCTCTACACATAACAATATTAAGTTTGATCATTAGAGTTTTGAATAAAAACAACTTCATTAAAAAAATAGTTTACATTCTTTGTATTTCATCAAAATGTGACATTATTGGTAAGGGGTGAATACTTTTGCAAGGTACTGTAAATGAGTTAATTTGCTCAACTCTATCTTACAAGATACTGAAATGATGTTAGAAAACAAACATTTGTTCACTAGGAAGCTGAAATACAGCTATTTGTTGGTATGGTTAGTAGCCTATATGATCATGCAAGTCTAATAACTAACAAGTAACTAATTCTCCTAATTAGGTGCAAAAATTAGAAAAAAAAGTCTAGTTTTCTTTAATTTGGTTAGGAGTATGGGATATAAAAACATTGTAATGGTGATTTTGTATGTATAAAATAAATTATGTTATTTTTAGTATACTGAATTTATGAAAGCATTTACTAAATATTTCACTAAAACATACCAGCTTACATAACATTTAAAATGAACCTTGAAGATGTGAAATCAGCTGAAATAATAATTAGACATACTACTAACCATAACAACATTAATATCTGATTGCTATAACCTTACCAAAAGTACTAAATGACCTGCTACTGCCCTAGACTTTGTAAGGAATTTTAGGATTTAGAAAAACTTAATTGTGAATTAGCTAAAATAAATAGCCACCTCACTTTTCTCCATAGAAATAAACAACATATAGATAGCATAATTCCAAAAAAGACGTAGGTTAAATTATCTATCAATATCCCACAATACCAAAGACTAACTAAGAAACTTAATACAATCATGCTCCATGATAGAGCTCGGTAATTCAATCAAATAATCATCATAATTGATTACCTATGAGCAGTGATTGTATCAATTAGTGTCCCAAAATTGATCAATTAATTATAATTTCAGTTAATCAATTAATGTCATGAAAATAACCAACTAGTCTTTATTTTTTTTCAATTATTTAAACAATCAATTATTCAAAATTATGATTATGTCAGTTATTATGAAAAGATCAACTAACTGAAATTAGGGTTTTTGATTAATTTGAATATTCAAGTAATCAAAATACTGCCATTATATTTATTTGGGGTTAAACATAAAACTACATAATGGATGAGTGGGAGGAATGCTTCATGATTTAAGGGTCTCAGATCTGATTCCCACTGCTACCAAATTTACTCTTCTTGTCTTCATTATTGTAAAGCTACTAAGGCTATCTACCAGTCATTAATTTTGAACTGCTGACTAGAGGGAAAGCAACTGACTGGTAGCTTTCAATGTCAATTCTCTGGTTACTTAAGTATTAAATAAAGTGTAAATTTACTGTTTTTTTTAGATTGTATTATGTTTCTAATTTATAATTGTGTCAAGCTCCCAGAAATTAATAACTTGTTTTCTTTAATGTTTTATGAAAAGACATGGATATAGTGGAGAGGTTCAAGGGTAAATTCTCATATATTTTTTAAAGAAATTTATAACTATATTATTTAAGATTATATTAGCACACAATAATTTTGGGAAGGGGTCCAAGGGGGTCAAAATTCCACCACTTCTCCACTGTATTTCAGAAATTAATAACTATTATCTAATGTAAAAGTAAGTTTGAATCCTCCATTTACTTTTCAGAAAGTAATGAAAAACAGCCACATAGTATCAAAAAGCAATATCAGTGTTTTTATTTGAATGCTCTGTTAATTACAATAAAAGCTTTTTTTTTTTTTTTAGTTTCACTGAAGTCAACTCAGCCTCAGCCAATAAGTGATTATTTCTAAACAAATACAACAATATGAACATCAATTAAACGTTGCTATAGTAAATTTTCATGCCTTGGCTTTTTTCAGACACTCTAGCATGGGGATTGCAAGCAGGTTTCCAGGGGAGTCATGAACTGTCTGCACTGAGTCAACATTTTTTTTTAGACTTTGAAGGGTCGTCTGGCAAATCTGGCTAAGAAACACTGCTCTAGTAACATGTGTGTGCCCTAGACTTTGCATCAAGGGTAAGGTAATTTTCGTGTTAAAATGAAAAATCATTTTTTTCATTTTACAGTTTTCATATTCTACATAAATAATTGTAAAACCTCCTAAATGAGTATCAAACATTTTTTTTCAGTAAAACTTCGTATTTCATGTTAGTTTCTAAACCCTAACTACTGTATGTACAGACTCCACCGATTTGAACAACCTTGTAACCACCACAGAAAAATACAAAACATATTTAAATTTCCTCTTTCTTCTTTCTAGAATAACTACAGATTGTAACAGAAAACTACAATTATTTATCCTAAATAGTTTAAGGCTAGTAACAGTTTACATCTTTTTCTTCTTAATTTTATTGTTTTATTGCTCTTTGAACCATGTCTAATTAATAATCCCATGATAAAAACTGTAAACCACATGATGAATGCAAAGCTCAAGTTACAGTATTGAATAACATAATGCATGAGTAACTTCTGAGCATATCTCCTGGAGAATTGGTTTTCATTATCTTATCTAGTAAATTTCTAATTTTTTTATATTTTAGTTACTTTTATAACAATGAATAAAAAATATACATAAAAAAGAACTTTATTACCTATGTTTGGCCTCTTGTTTTTGTGTTGGCCCACTGATGATGAACATAATCCAATTTTCTTTTTGTACTGTTGGTACTAGTACTTTAAATGATTTTTATCTATTTCAAGTACGAACTTAAGAAAACAAAACAATAATATGCACAAAGCAAATAATCTCCTATAACAATTATAATTTAATTAACCTTTTAACTATGACACAAGTGCCTTAAAATAACTTCCTTACCTACTCGACCTGAACTCAGCAACAACAACTTTCAATCCGTAGGCAAAATAATGAAAAACCTCTTGAGAACAGGGTAGCATTACACTTCACTCACTACATTAAATAATAGCAAATGTCAGAAAGAATTATTGGCTATTCATGAAATGATGTGATAGGTGGGCATGGTAAGTGGGTCTAACTTTCTTTTCTACACCTCCATAAACAAAGAGTAATGAGTAATTCACTTTAACCTCAGAACATTAAAGAAGGGTAATTAAAGAAATAAATAGGCAAGTCAGCAAACAAATGTCATGAAACACATTTAGAAAGGGAGAATTGAGTACTTATTTCAATATTTTCTTTTCAAATTAAGAAATTAAAACCGATATTAATATTTGATTTAGTAACTACGTTTCAATGCCAAATCTATTCAGATACACTGATAACGCAATAGCTTAATTAAATTTTTAATGCACCTCTCTAAAAGGTTGCTGTGAAGTGCACAATTTGACCTACCCATAGTAAGAGGGTTAAAGAACAGAGTTTCTCGTATACCATCCAACTTGCAAGTTGTGGTTAAACTTTAGTTTTTTTAGAGAATGTTATAACATTTTAATTTATTTATTTATGGGCTAAAGGATTTTATCACCAACTAATGCACTGGCTCTAACCCTTAGAATTGTGGAGTCCCATTGCAGCACATTTATCAATGCACAAGTGCACAATCCAGGTAGCATTGCACCATCTCTAGTTCCCAACTATCAATTAACAACAACCACTTTTATATTTACTTTATTATTATGAATTACTGTGTAACATACAAATTTTTCTTTTGCATTGTCTGAATGTAGTTTACAGACATGTGACTTGACCATATGCATTTCATTCATAAAAAAAATCCTTAAAAGAACAAAAAATCTTAGTATCTTGTAACTATTTTGTTTCAAATGATAATTTCCTTATCTCCTAAAGGAATGAAAGAAAACTACTTCTAAGAACATATACTTAAAAAAGTACCCAGATTATGTATATGAATGAAATTCTTTATGAGTATCATATTCAAATAACAAGCAGAAGCTTATATATATTGCAAACCATGGTGTCTGTCTGAGCATTCATGTGTCTCCCATTTATGACAACTGCTTCTTATGCTGCATTTGAAAAGTTGTACACACAGCCAAAGCTTAACATTCACTTTTGAAATGACGGGAGAACCGGCATGAATAATGTTGATGCCAAATTTTATTTCACAAGCAAGATATTCTACACTAAATTATTAGGAATTAATCACACTATCATTCACATTTCAAAATGTGATGTAACTTAAGGAATAAAAATGAAGATTTAAAATGTTATTGTTGAGCATTTCTTAGCATCACTGAAATGCTCAACGGTTACTTTTCTTGGTATAAGTAGCTCAGAGCTTTGGTTCTGCGTGAAACCAAGAATGCAACACAATTAATCTTTTTAATGTCCGTGAAATAATTTAAATTGATAGATTAACTTAAACTTTTCCTGTCACTGGTGGTGGGTACTTTTGCTTGTTATATATAGGGACGAGTTTAACATATCTACATGAGCAGCAGGATTACACTTACGGTAGTGTACAGGGCATCTACTTGAATAATTTGGACTTATTTAACATACTTACTAGAGTTACAGGAGTTCATCTATGAACATGCTTAGAGTAAGATACTTACATGTGGAGCAGAGCTATGGCTGTTTACTGATAGTATATTGAGGTCAACCAGCAGCTCCGAGATAACAAGCAGACAGTCCACTATAACCAGTGTGATAACACCAACCTACAACAAAAAAGTATGCTGCTGTGTTTCAAGTTTTCCAAAATGTTCCACATTAGAAACAAATATGCACATAAATTTGGAAATCTAAGCTTTTACAAATATTTTGAGTCAATGATAAAAGTTCATGTTGTGTTCTTTCTTTACATTTTTCACAAGCAAAGATGCAGTGGCAATACAGTCACCTTTTCGGCTGGGTTTCTTAGCTTATTGGTAAGAGATCCTGGCATTCTAAGATGCAAATCTTACTGGGAATAGGGAATGACACAGAAAAAACTGAAGGTAGGCATAACATCACATTAATTTAGACAGTAGTTGGTAATACACAGAGACATAGCACAGAATGTGTGGGCCCTCCCTGTTAAATTTTACATTTGGCCCCCTTAATATCTGATTTATTAAAGCACTATGCACCCCTATTTAGCAAATTTTACATTTATAAACAGTGGACTAACTGAATCTTTTTTTATTTCTATGAAGGTCAATATAACCAAAATATTCCTGAAGAATGAGTTAGCTAAAAAAATCTTGGTTAATTTCAATTTTACAGAAGTAAATACAGTATTAATTAAGAATTGTCAGAAATATTATTTGACACCCACACACATATATATACTTTAAAGTAGAAAAATGTTAAGGATATAAAATAAAGAAAAAAAAATAGACATTTAGAGATATGTCATTTTAAATATTCTTTTGCTTTATGTTTTAGTGAAAATTCAAGCAATCACTCTATTTTAAGCCAAAAACAAGCCTAATGGCTAACGACAAACAAGTTATATATTTTAGAATGTTTAGTCTAAGTGTATTACTAGAATCTAGTAGATGTATGTGATAACAGTTAAGGGAAAGTATAAACCTTGTAAAACACATAAATTCTCATTTTGCTTTTCACAATACTATGTCACATATAGCCCCATTAAAATATTTTAAAATCTGTTTAAAAACAACAATGCACAACATGTAGCCAAAAATCATGTGTGGTACACATTGAAAAGAACAATGAAATTTAAGCCTGCTTTTTTATACTAATAGTACTTGTTCATTAAATAATTTTTATACACTTAAATAATGCACATAAGAATACAAAATAGTACCATACACAAAGCAAACAATCTCCTATAACTATCATAATTTAACTGCCTTTCTAACTATGGCATAAGAGCTTTAAAAAAATTCCAAAAAATGTACAGTTTTGGTCTCCTTTTTCAGAAAGCTAATTTATCTGTTGAAAAAATTGCAACTAGGATGATTTGGGAGATGGAAGGGTTATCTTATGGAGTAGTTTAATGTATTTCTTCTTGTGAAACGAAAAATAATAGGTGATGATAGTGAAGTTTACAAGATTATCTGGAGGGGATAGGTAGGATAATATCCTTTGAATTCTGAACATAACAGGAGTGAAGAACCAAGATTAAGATTTGGAAAAGAAAAACTGGTGAACCTCAGGTTACAACAATTTTATTTTCTGTCAAGGGTAATAAGCTTATGGAATGAGTAGTTATAACAGTAGTGAAGGCTAGAACCTTATAAAAGGTTAAGAGAGAAATTAATGATTTACCGGAAAATAAACAGTGAATTTTCTTTTTCTTGAGGTGGGTGTTCAGGGAGCATATGGTCTCCTGTTATCGATAAGTTATGTTGTTTCAGGTTTGATAGCTTATAATTTATTTTACTACCTTCAAAATTATTTTTTGAAATCTTTGTAGGCTTAAATATCTTCCTCAACACCACCATGGATGCATAAACCAGATTTAATGATCCAACATTTAACAGACCCTTAATTCAATGTTATGCTGCAAATAACAGTAATTTCAAGAAACATATATATATACAAAAAAGCAACATATACATACATATATTTTCTCAATCAACCAAAAATTACTGGTATGAAATATATGTTTTATTTTACATCTAAATATATCATGTAACATAAGTCACATTATCTAACCATCCAATAATGAACAATACTATGACTTATTTTAAGTTATGTACAACACTGCACCATTTGGTATAATAATACATCCCAAGAAGCCAAGTTAACATGACTTTATCTTAGATCATGTTCAAGACTAAAAAATTCATAGATGTGCCCCAAGGCCATAAGAGATGAAGCAACATTCACATGTTGGAAATGATGATCACTGGAGAGTTCATGAGACACCCAAACACCTTCTTTATGGAGTTTTCCCATATTCCTTATATGTTTAGGTATTGTTTCATGAA